AGAAACCTATTGATTAATGGTAAATAGATATTTAAAATCAAACTTCAAGATTTAAGTTATAAATCACATCTTGTAAAATATTTCGTTCAAAAAAATATATAAATTATAAAGAGACTCTCGTAAAATCTTTGCCTCACGAATAATGGTGATGTATATCCTCAAACCTTAAAATTAAACACAGAAATTAAAGCGAGAGATTCATTATATCTAATGATGTTTGAGCTCAATAGATTCAACGACCAAAATATTTCGTCATTGAAGCCATTTTTCTAGTGTGACAATACCTATTGGAACAACATTGATGGGTCTTCTTCCAAAGATATTGATTATGACACTCTTACGCCCTAGCCTCAATGCAACTTTATATAAGCTTCTCCTATTAGATTAAGTTATTAGAATATATTATTTGAATTAATTTTATTTTGTATTTCAATATTTTACAAATTACATTATTAGTAAACAAACTTAAGAGGTTATTGCAATATACTTTGTATTAAAAGAAATATTTTACAAACTAATATTTTAAAATTACTTTTCAATCTTTGATTTCAAATGTTGTGAGGAAAAATATTTCTATTTTTATTTTTCTATATATGAAAATAAAATGTGATATATTTCAAACAAGTTTTTTACATTAATAAAAAATAAATAATGTTTATATATAAACAATTAATTCGTACCCCGTTCGGTAACCATTCTCTTTTTTTTTTCTATTTTTAAAATTAAGCTTATAAATACTATGCTATAGTTCTTTCTTTTTCACTCTACTTTCGGAGAATAGTTTTAAAATCTAAGCTAAAAATTTAAAACTAAACATAAAATAGTTTTCAAAAACTCGTTTCCATTTTATAAATTTGCTTTAAAAAATGTGACAAACATATAAAATTCCTTCTTAAAAACAGAAAACTAAAATTGAAAGGGTTATCTAATAGGAAATTTGGAAACTACAAATCTTGTAATTTATTTTATAATTCTAAAGAATGTGGCTGTAAATTATCTTATATAATGAAAAATAAAAAGAGAGTTGAAAATAGAAAATAAAAATATCAGAAAGGGTCCTAATATGATTGGAAACTTGTGGTTGTGTTGGGCAATAAACAGCCACACTTGAGTTGGGACCACACCAGAGAGCTGTAGTACAAAGACCACCCAACTACAAATTTTGGAAAAGGAAACTAAAGATCCCACAAAAAGAAACAATCAAATCACTGCCATAAAAATTAAAAAAAAAGGCTTCAAAGAAACATGGTGAAGCTGATATAAATATTTTTTTAATTTATAAAAATATTGTAGTTTTTATTAGATGGCCACGAAATTATTTCTTGAAGAGATATTTTGCTACTTGTTGGAGAAAAGAAATCACATGTAGACAGTTTTAAAAAAATATACATGAAGAGAGAAGATTTTGTGGATTGGTGAACGTATCGTCCGGCTCACTTTCGTTTTTAAAAAATAATTTAATACTGATTTATTTATTATTTTTTTTATGTTTATTTAGTTTGAAATAACATAATTTACTCTATCATAAAATTTAATATAAAGTTTCAACTAAATCAAATTAAGTTTTAAAATTAGATTTTATTTGAAAATAATTGGTTTTTTTAAAATTGATTTTAAGATTTAAAAAAAAACAATTTTTTTCTCCCATTTGATTTTTTTCTTCATACGTGTATCCCCTCCCCTTCTTCTCCTCCCTCTTTTTCTCTCTTCTCTTGCCCTTTTTCTTTTTCATCGTTATTTTTAGGTGTATTTAAGGAGGGCTGCAGTGGGAAGGAGAGGACAGACAAAACACTACACGGAAGACCAAGAAAAATTCGCTTCTTCTTTCTCTCTACCATCACCTTCTCTTCTTCTTCACCCAGGCTGGCGACCCCAACGATACACAGACTGCACACGTCCCCCGATAATCACAAGTTCAGACAACCTGCACCACAGTAGTCCGGCGCAAAGCTCTATAATTCCGACGGACAACAATAATATAACGAACAACATCTACAACCGACGCACGGATCACGGACCACCTGACTCCGACCTTGAGTGCTCCTTCACGGTTTCAGACCCGCGAGCACACCAAGAATTTTCTCACTACAGTACGTGGTATAGAAAAAAGTTGTTTTAGAAATGATTTGATTTTTTTTATTTGTTTTAAATAAGTTTGTTTTAAATTATATATATATATATATATATATTTTAAATAAGTTTGTTTTAAATATGATTTGATTTTTTTTTAAAAAAAACAAGTTTGTTTTAAATATGATATTTTTTTTCTTTAAAACAAGCTTGTTTTAAATGTTTTTTTTTAGTTTTAAGGAAGTTTGTTAGAGGAATTTCAAATCTAAAACAAAATAATTTTATTTTATTTTATTTTATTATTATTATTATTATTATTATTATTTTCGGTTTTAGTTTTATTTTATTTTATTTTTTTTAAACAATTTTTTTAAAAATAAAGATTTGTATGATAAGAATTAAAACTAAGTTGTATCATGTGGTGTTGGCATAGTGGTAGGTTACTTAAAAGTAATTCACATATCTCAGGTTTGAGTCTTTGTGTGTCTAATTTAATGTTTTTTTTTATATCATTATTTTACCAAACAGCTATTTTAGATAAATTTTTTTTTAATATAAAAAAAAACTTTCGTTTTTATAAGATTTCAAATCTTAAAACATTTATATAAATTCTAAGTAATATCTTAGGATGTTGGCACATTGGTAAGAAGTTTGTATATACACTCTCATGTCACAAGCTCAAATTTTGATGGGCCCTACACTAAAATTATTTTTTATTTATTAATTTTTCTTTTCTACTAAATAATTATTTTGAAAATCTTAATGACAGAAATTGGATCTTTGCAATATTTCGAGGTGATAATTTGTTTTTCTAATGGTCTTTGCGCCACTCATGCTTGTTCATATTTTATCGTAAAATATGAACCAATAAATTTGGGACATTTAAAAATCAAACACAAAAATATTTTTCTTTTTGGACCAAAGTATAATAGGATAATTTTTGACAAAATATGATACCGTTTTCGAACGGGTGCCGTAGGGTGCTAACACCTTCCCTATGCTCAGTCGACTCCCGAACCAAAAATCTATTTTCGCAGACCAAATTTTAACAATAGGTGATCAATCACACCTCATAGCTGATTGGTGACGATTACAAACCCTTATCTCGAAAGAGACCTGTCAGGGGATAACGTCGGCCGCTCCGCGTCGCGATGACGTTGCGACAGTGAGAGAGTAAATTTGGAGCACTAGTAGAAAAGTGGTCTTCCATGACAGTGAACAGTAGAAAAGTTTGGAGGAAAAATAACTGTCATAAATGATGGGGCTCGTTTTTTGCAGGAAAAACGCTATTTTTCGGATTTTGTAAGTTTTATGATAGTTAAAAACTATCACGAAAACCGAATTTTCAATGATAGTGAAAAACTGTCACGAAATGGTGGAGGCGCGATTTTTGTGGGAAAAAACAGTAATTTACGAAAATTTTCATGATTTTATGACATTTTATAATTTGTCAAAAAAAATAAAAAAAAAAATTCAAGTATTGCATGATAATTACCTAGACCATCTTGAGAATGTATATACAAAAACAAATGATTTTGAGCGCGTTTCATTTCTGTCAGAAAAACTGCAGCTTTGTTAATGATATTAATTATTTCGAGATTGTCCGATCGCATCGAGTATAGATTTATGTTTAATAGTTTCCCCAAATACTCCATGAAACAAGTAGAAAATGGTATTTGGTATAGTGGTATGCTTATCTTGCGTAATTGTAATTGTGTTATTCCTCTCTTCTGTCTTGAGTTTAAGCCCTATGAATTTAAATTATTTTTTCAACTCTCTATTAATACATTTTTATAAAAATAATATAAGTTAATTCTAGTTTCACTGAGCATTTCGTAAACAAAATATTCATATTTAAATTATACTCGAGTTTTTTTTTATTGGAATGAAAGGTAGTCAACTTAATCGAATGTTCATGAATTATTTTGGGTTAAATTGGAACTAGTTAGGTTTGTTGGAGACTATTTATCGTGTGTCGACAAAAGAAATGTAATATTATTTAAGAATATCTTTGATCACGATACCCTGAGGAAGTCTCTTTAGGTCGGAATGTTTTGATGAGCTAAACTGTTTATTATGTTTTATCGACATACCTAGAAGGTTAGAGTCGACCTATACGAAGATGTCTGCAGGAGTGTTGAATAACACATTAATCAAACAACACGTCGCATTTTACGGGCGGTCGGATGACCGTTAAGCCATTGTCGGGAGTCTTGTCGGAGATCATCTCTATAAATAGAATTCAATTTTATGATTTTTTGGGTGTGTATTTTTATTTTTCATTATTTATTTTTGCAAGAATTCAATACTTTCTCTTATCCTTGTTTGCTGGCAAGAATGTTCAAGAAATGATTTTAAATGTCGTGATTTAAAATCAGAGATATGATTGAAAATTTTTTATCTTGTTTGGAACAAAAATAATTTGAATTAATATAATTAAATTTAGTTGTTTGGATGTTCGTTGGATGATTGAGTTTGATTTTTTGGTTTACACAAAATAACTAGTTCAACTGAACCAAAATTTTTTTATTCAAATATCATTTTTACTACAAGAAATCATCGTTGCCTTTGTAGACGTATACTTTTCACTTTTTGAAATTCTCACATTTTCTATAATGCCTGCGTTCTCTAGCTCGTTTATTAAGACTTATTTGTGCCTTGGATTTTTCCTCTAAGCCGATGTTTAATTTCATGGATTTTCTAATATTGGAGTTCTAATTTTGGGTTTTAAATTTAGTTAATCTTTTAGATAAATTTTCCAAATCATTTGTAGAGATAGTTCTTATTGGGAAATGATTATGGAACATTGTTCTTTTTTTTAGAAGACCTTAAACATTACTTTGTGTTGCTATTTTAGTTTAATTGGACCAATTTCTTTTTGGTCAAAAAAAAAACAAAATAAAACAAAAAGAGAAAGGGAAAGAAAATAAAAAGGAAAAAGAATGAAGAAACCCTAGCACCTATCTCTTTCCTCTTCCTTTCACGGTGTACTCTCATTCTTCTTCGTCTTCCACAACAGCCCTATTATTTTTCATCATCGATGGCGACTCCACGATAGCATTTCCCAGCTGACGACGATGCGAACGACATGGCGACGTGACCCTCAGACTGTAGCGTTTTCGGCGATGGTGCAATAGTAACAAATGCCTAGATCTGATGTTCTTCGATGGCCCAACAATGCGTGCGGCTCCTTTTGGGAGTCATTTCATGGCAGTGCAGTACTGTGGATTGGAAGGAAGTTATTTCTGTTCTAGGTCGTGAATCGTGATCTTTTACTCAGTTTTCTGTTCATTTTCTGTCCAATTTCGCTGGTAAATTACTGTTTGCTTTGAAAACAAAGTCCCTCGAAGGTTTGTGAAAATGCGAAGTTTGAACTGATTATTTTGTTGCTTTGATTTTACTTTTTAAGTTGTTTTCTGGTTCAGTGTGAGAGTTTAGATCGTTGAACGGCGGCGAAAAGTTTTGGTCGGAATCGGCGGTGGATTTTTATGTTTCGTTTTGTTAGTAATATCGTGCATGATCTTGTAGTCGAGATTTAAGAGTAACTTCAATTTTTTTTTTTTTGTATTTTTTTCTCCCTTGTTAATGTTGTTCATTGTGGAGCGAAGGAGATTTTTTGTATGTTATTGTTTAGTTTTCAAGAGTGAGAATGAAAAAATTGTTTGTTTAATAATTATTATTAATTTTTAATTCTTCCTGATTAATCTTCTTCAAAGCAGGAATGAGCATCTAAACCCTACAAAAAGGGAAAAAAATTCAAAGATTCGAAGTTCAAAGCGATGGAAGAGAGAGAAGCCATAAGTGCGTGCGGCTCCTTTAACGGCGGCAAGGTGCATTCAGCGGTAGGGTTTGTTTCTTATTCGGCGAATCGATGGTAGAGTTGTTGCACTCTTATTAGATGTTGATCTGAAAATTTATTTTCAGTCTATTTCATTATTTTCTTGGTGTTTCAAGGTCGTGCAATATAATATCGACTGCTACTGTTAGATTCTGCTCACTTTGTAAATTAAGATTTTGTATTCAAGTCTCTCGATTTAGGTTGTGTAGCTTACTTTTATGATTTTTAGTAATTGAATAGGTAAACAACATATTGTTGTTTGTGGCAGACTGTCTGGGTAAATGTAAACAACATAATTTTTCTCCCCTTTCTGCTGTGAAATGTGCTACTCTGTAGTTCTGCCAAACTTGAGAAAATTATCTTCCATGTCTCTTGAGTTGTGCTTTTTTTTTAGATCACGTGATTGGTTGGATATCTTGTAGAGAAGAGATTTCTATAAAGAATCAATGATGGTTACTAATTAGATTCGACATTTGAGTTCAATTCTTAGGCTTAATTAGTTTTCACCTAAAAGTTTAAGTTTAGGAATAAGTGGTTTACAGGATCAGTTTAATGTCAATATTAAAGAAATAGGCTTTCATCAGTTTGAAAGTTACAATTACCATCTTTTTTGGAGGATTGCTCTCTCTAATAAGGTAGCTTCTAATATGGTATTATGCAGTATCAAAACTTCCTGGTGACCTTAACTTGTATTATGGACTCTCTATCTAGAAAACCACTTCAATGGTTGGATTTTCATTTAAGCTTTCAACCTATTGTCATCCCAGTTAAGCAAATCAGATAAAGCCATGAGGATTGTTATCCGAACGTAATTCTATCTCTTTCTCCTCTTAGGTTAGGATTGTGAAAGATGGTAAAAATCTAATACAGATTTTTTATTTTATAATTGTAGAGAATGTTAGCCATCATGGGATTCATAGAGGTGTTTATGAACTTTTTGTCTTGAAGAGCTAAACTAGCATTTTGTATTTAAGTCTCTAGATTTAGGTTCGTATCTTAATCTTTTAGGATTTTTAGTAATTAAAGTTGTTCTGGAGTTTTTGATGACGACTAAAATTTCTCGTTTCGTTGTAGGTGATCACTTTATGAAGATGATGATGAGGTTATTGAATAAAAAATTAAAGCTTTCTTGGATGAAAATGTATAGATTTTCAATTCGAGTCTTTGAGATAAGTGACTATTTTGTCTTTCTAATCAACATTGTCAACCCTTTTATTAAATGCACTTGTCAGCTCTTACTTGTTCGGTTTGATTTGCAATACTTTAGGCTTTTGAATTGAAGAAAATGCAGACAGACATACCTATATTTGCAATGCCTTAGGCTTGATCATCAGCTTTTCCAACTATGTGGCCATGATGAAAAATATCATTAATACATTTTTTGTACATTTTTATGTTGTCCCCCACTTCGATTCAGGCGTCGAGTATATCCTTTACTGCATTGGGTCTTTAATGTGGCTTAGGAAGGATATGCTGAATACTCTAATATCCATAATTTATATCAAAAGGTATACAACCTCAAAATTAGAGAAATGGTCACTTACCTTATTTACTTGTTTTTAACTATTTGAGCATTAAAATGCATTTAAAGTAAGTTATTCTAGTTAATTCAAAACTTATGATATAGTTTCCTATTTAGATAAGCCTTACATCAAGTTTCAAATATATGTTGCGTTATATTTCTGAATTGATTTGTCGTTTTGAAATAAAATGAAATGGCTTCAAATACGGAATTCCTCTAGGGCAAAAGATAATTTTGTTAATGTTGATTAATTAGTAAGGATGTTTATTTGCTGATTTTGATAATGAAATCCTTCAGTCAATTGTAGAGGACTTTTCTACTGACAAAACATATAGCAAACTAATTTATATGCATATGCTAATTCTAGCCGCACAACATTTTTTTGTTATTCTTTTTGTTACATTTACTTCTTCGTCGTTGCTTTTGATAGCAGTATAGCAAATATTCTCATTTTCTATGTTTGTCAATCATCACTTACCATTGTAAGAAGAAGAATATGACATTGATGTTTGTTTGACACTAGGGGTGATGTTTTTGCTTAATGTGAAATTATTGATACTTCTTTCTCTTCCATTAATACATATTTGTGTTGCTATCCTGCAGCAAAGATAGCCAATTAAGACTTAATGTTTATATGTGTCATGCATATAATATAAAGTCTAGTTGGATAATTATGTTGCTATTCTGCAGCAAAGATAGCCAATTAAGACTTAGTGTTTATATTTGTGTCATGCATATAGTTTAAAATCTAGTTGGATAATTGTGTGACTATCTTGTAGCAAAGATAGCCAATTAAGACTTAGTGTTTATATGTGTCATTACGTAATGCATGTTGGAGTTAGAAAGAAAATGTAGGAGTATAGGGAAGTTTTTTCTTAATTGTTCGTTTTATTTTGTTGAAGGAATAGCTTGCGGGAGCAACATTTTGAGAAAGAAGAATTTATAGGGAAGAGTTTCGGCGTATTTTCGACATGTACGAGGTTGATGTAATGTGAATATAGTTCGTTGGGCATTCTCTTATTGTAATCATAGACTTATAGTATAGTATTTGTATAAAATATCCTAATGTACAAATTTGATCAGACATTGATCTTATTATATGCAACTTTGTTACATTTTATAATTTATAGATATAGATAATTTTTTTGAAACATGTACAGTGTTATAAAATGTATTTCATGGTTGTTATGAAGTTATCATATATAAACTTTTATTGACATTACAAACCTTTATTAAACACAAATTGTGACAAAAAAAAATTGTCATGTCATATATAAAATTTTCGTGATAGTTAAAATTGTCAATATAAAGATTTTAATGACAGTTAAAAATTGTCAATATAAAGATTTTCATGACATTTAAAACTACCAATATTGACCGTTAAAACTATCACTATAAAAGTTTTCGTGACAATTATAAATAGTAATTGTCACGTTTTTCTTGACGTTTATCAGCAGTCGTTCAAAAATATTTCATGTCAATTTTGAACTGTCGTTAAAAAACATTTCATGACAATTATAAACTGTCGTTAAAAAATATTTCATGACATTTATAAACTGTCGTCATTAAGTTTTTATTAACAGAAGAATAAAATCTTTCATTGTTTTAGTGATAGTTATAAACTGTAATTAAATGAGTTTCTGTGACATTTATTAATTGTGATGGAAGATCTATTCGTGACAAAGTATAATTGTAGTTGTAAATGCATTGATGAAAATTTTTCAAATTTGTCATCTTCTCCTCTTTCTTGATGCCTTAATAGATGACAAAAAAAATTGTCATGAAATATGTTAATGACAGTTTTTAACTGTCAATGAAACCCGAATTTCTACTAGTGGAGGGTGATGAGAGAATTTTAATAGATGAGACGGTTAAAAAAGGAAAATACTTAAAGTTATGACTTGTGAGACATATCTCTATCTTAATCACCTTTGAAAAGTTAATAGCTTGTTTGATCAGAAAAATTGACCAAGTATATGAATCTCGGTTCGGACGAAGGATGACTTAGAAGTGTGTCGAATAGGGACCTGCAAAATAGAAGATACTCTGACACCCAACTCAGTAGATGACCGAGATATATTCGAGAGAGAATATTGTATTCGCATACTTAGAAATGAGGCAGAATGTTCTGATTTATAGGCGAAGTCTCTGACAAAGCTTCCGACAGAGTCCTAACGATCCTTTAAGGTAACCGAGAATATGGCATGTTGTCGCGGGATATGTCAGAGAATGTATCTTATCAAAGTGCCCATGGGTCAGCTCGACCCATGTACCGGGTCGGGTCTGATTGACATAAGGAATTCAAGGTGACATATTTTGGAGTTATCGATTCAGAGCCACATGTCATCCTATCATATGAGGACTTGTCATGTATTAGGTGAAAATATAATACAGCTCATTATTAAAAAAGATTATGTTTTTACATTTCTCTCTTAATTATCAAGTATGTAATCCTAGTGAGAGAGCAGAGAAATTTAAAAGGATGGAAGGAGAAGCACATTAATGGGAAAGAGGAGATAGAGATTAATAAAAGAGGGATCAGATAATAAGTAATCTGTTCTAACTCACGAGATTATGATTGGACAATTCTCTCCCTCTCCTGCCTATTAGTAGCCCCATCATTCCTCTATACCTTAGTTATCTTTAAGAGTAAAAAGTCATTCTCCTAACAAACTAATACGACTTCTTTCAACCTCTTTTGTCTCTACCCACATCTTAAAAATTTTCTTAGGAGGTCATCTCAACACACACGACTAGAAAATTGTAGGGATGGTCATTCCTCACGAATATTTACAAAACATGCCGATCAGAAAGCCTTTTTCTCGATGTTTTTTTAAAAACGTCGAGAAAAAGGCCTTCTCCCCACGTTTTGGAAAACGTCGAGATAGATAGCTTTTCCTGACTTTCATAGTAATATTTTACAATATTCGTCAGGATAAATCTTTTTTTTTAAATAATAATTCATACTAATTTCAACTTTGACCTTATTAAAAACCTAATAAGAAATTTAAATGTGCATATATGATTAAAATATCATACGAAAATTCAATTCACATATATATCCAAAATATCAAATAATTTGAAATTGATATATCTGTTGAACAAGAAATTTCGGCTAATTACTAAATGTCATGTCACAAAATTAAAATTACATTTAGGACCAATTATAAAATTACACGTGTCCTAAATTAATTTTAAAATCGACGAATCTAATCATGCAATGTGTCTCTCTTATGGTCGTCTATTGAAATCAACTAATTGGATCAAAACCCACAAAGAGATTGGGCCCAAGCCCATGACCAATACAAGACCCACCAAACTCTATAAATAGAGGGGGGTCGCCTCTCATTTGAGACATTCGGAAAGATCCAGAAGCATTGGAGATTCAGAGCATTCGGACCATTAGAAATCATCCACAACCGTTCAAAGTGCAAAACATCCACTTCCAACAAGACTTGAAGAATTGAAGACTCGAAGAACGAAAGACTTGAAGACTATGAGACTTCAAGAATTTTGGATCTTCTCTTCGCCAAGCAACTGACCGAAGAACTTTACAAGATACAAATCGAAGACTTCATCAACCAACAAACTTCGCCAAGCATCAAGCTTCACAGCCGAAGACTCTAAAGATTCTTCAATACGCTCGAAGCTGAAGGCGCAAACTCATTGATTCGAGAACAAGCTCACAAGCCCTCGAATTAAAGTTTACATCTAAGAGAATTAATCAGATGATCATACATTAGAGATTGTAACACTACATATATTCAATACAATACAAGTTCATTAATTCAAGTTTTATCTTATTGAATTTTTCGTCAAACAATATCCAAAAAATTCACATATATATACTAATTTTTTACAATATATTTTTACAAATTACTTGAGTTTAAAAATTACACGTGGACAAAAGTTACAACATATTTAAAGTAGTACACCACCCAAGTAGTAGTTCTAAAATGACACTAGACTAGAGATAGAAATGAAGGGCAACGAGCTAAAACCTTAAAGCCACCTAGTCTTGCTATGAAATCTTACTTTTGCTAGCTCAACTCAGGCCATGCTGAAATCTTGATGTCGTTTTGCTGCTCTTCGTTCCCACCTCGAAAAAGATTTTCTTAAGCTCATTGGCTTTTAGTGGCTCGTATTGCGTCTGCAATTCTTCTTCCTATATCTGCATCTCTCCCATTGTACAGGAAAAACACGCTTTTTAGAGTTCACATAATTGGATCAGTGAAAAGAAACGCGCACTTGGCTTTGTTGAAAATATAGTAACTATCAATTTTTTTAGGTCTTTCCTGATTCTAGTAACATAATCTCAGAATCTCTCTCATTTAGATGCAATGTCAATTTCTTCATGTACCCCTTGCTACTCAAGCATCACACATGCCCACTAACTTCTGCCTAATTTGTCCTTCAACCACATCGTACTGGGAGAGACATTTATACTCTAATACCATTTGTAATGCATTAGACCGAAAATTTTTACCAAGCTTTTATATTTGTGTTCCGACATTTCTCTACATCCTTTGTGACTTAATGTGCCACCTAGTTGACTTGAGTTAATTTTGAGAGTGTAAACTATTTCTACAAACCAATAAGAATCCTTTTAGCTTGCTTTATTCTCGATTGCATGCTTTCGACAAGAAATAAGGTTTTTTCTGACACTTCAAAACATCGGAAAACGTTGGAAAATACCTTTAAAAAGCTGGGAGCAACCTTTTTCAAACAAAAAAAAATGCGTCGAAAAGAAGTCAGGCAAAGTGCGTTGGGAAAGGACAACTCCCGATGGTTTTTCAAAAAAGTTGGGCAAATATCACTATTCTCCATTCTTTGAATACAATCGGGAAAAGTCATTTTGCCTGGCGGTTACAAAAAAGTCGAAAAAGTGACTTTTTCCTTACTAGGAAATTCACCAGGAGATCATCCAACATAAGGTTATTCTAAACTAAACACCATTAACTTTAGAGTTTTTATAATTAAGTCACTGAAAAGAAAGGAATTACCCGTTTTGTTAACCTAACTTCAGTAAGGAAGTTGAAGCCACACACCAAGTCATAGTCAAAACAAGAAGATCTATACTTAAAAGTTGTTGTGCATTTTTGTATAAATAGGGCCTTTGAGTGCCATCATAATACAAACATCTTACCTTCAGTGTGAAACTTTCTTTTGTGAAATTCTTACTTGGTATCAGAGTTGTAATCGCCAACGTCTCCTCCAATACCTCTACCCACCCCGTTTTTAGCAACCCACCACTCAATCAATTGCTTAACCAAATCACCACAATAAAGCTAGATAGAAGCAATTACTTGTTGTGGAAAAACCTAGAGTTACCCATATTACGAAGTTACAAACTAGTCTTATCCTCCACCTCTACCGATTGGTCGGTAACAAAACCCACAAATGTTAAGGTTGCTCTTGCTACTCCGATCTGGAAATCGGCGATGGATTTGGAGTATAATGCTCTTGTGCAAAATCAAACTTGAACCCTCGTACCTTCTACTGATTCAGTCAATGTCATTAGGTGCAAATGGATTTTCCGCATAAAACGCAATTTTGATGGCTCGACTCAACGCCACAAGGCGCAGTTGGTGGCCAAAGGCTTTCATCAAAGTCCTGGTATTGACTTCTTTGAAACCTTCTGACTGTGGTCAAAGTCTCCACTATCCGGGTTGTTCTGTCGTTAGCTGTATCTAGAGGCTGGAAACTACAACAACTTGACTTCAACAAATCCTTTCTCAATGGCAAGTTAGATGAAGATGTCTATATGTCCCAACCTCCAGGATATTCAGATCCCAGATATCTAAATTATGTCTACAAACTGCATAAGGTACTTTATGGCCTCAAACAAGCTCCTCGAGCTTGGAATGTCACTCTCAAGTCTGCCTTGCTTTCCTGGGGCTTCATCAACAATAGATCAGACACATCCTTGTTCATATATCACCGAGGTCCATCCATCATCCTCCTTCTGGTTTATGTCCATGATGTCATTGTTACTGAAAATAATATTGCTCTAATAAATAGTCTTGTTGCCACACAGGATAAAATATTTGCGTTGAAAGATCTTGGCTTGCTAAGTTATTTTCTCGGCATCTAGGTCACTCATCTATGTTGGCTTTTTGGCCCTTAATCTC